TAAATTGTACGATTTTCACCTGTCATTCTTCTACTAATTAGCATAATCGTAACTCGCGCTGAATTGGCCCCTATCGGCTGTGACCTCACAAGTTCGAGAACAGCCATGGTCAAACAGCGTCAGATTGCGAATTAATTTTTGTTTTAGTTTTGAGGAATCAGATTATGCTGAAGATAACATTATGTAGATGGTATCCAGTCATATAAAATTTTACAGAATTTCCAGACAGTGAGTTTAATTGAAACCAAACTGACGACTGGTGGCATTGCATGTCCTGAACTTGAGCACTGATGAGATTTGTTTGTTCAAATGAATGAATTTGATGGCAATTAAACAGAAATAGTCTCAATGTTGTCGATCAAAGATATTTCTTAATTTTTACCTGGAAAGTCAGTTTGGAATCATTTTCTTTCCTCTACACAGAGACGTAAAAGTGTATGCACTTTATATATCATTGAACAGCACTACTTCGTGACCAGTTTCTGTGCCGGAAAACTTATATTGCAAAGTTATATACTGCGGTACCTCTACAGTCCAAAAATATATCGTTGAAAGATGTGTGTTTCCAAAATAACTTCAACGTTGGTGTCTGCTGTTTTAATTGTCACTATTTTTAGTATCACATTTTAATGTCAAATCGACGACATGGTGTCTTCCTTATGTTAGGTTTACAATACAAATAAACAGCAAAATATCGACAGTTACACATTTAAGTGTATACAATACAGTACCTCTGTATGCGATGCTAAATCAGATAACGAACTTGTATAATCTAATTCAGTGATTACTTTTATCTCAAAAATATAATTGAATTATGAGATTCAAACATTTTTGTTTCTCCCTATATACATCAGAGACGTATATACTTTAATATGGCTTTTTTATGTCTCTGCTATACATCAGAGACGTATAATAATTATACGTCTCTGTATACATGTAGCATACACAAGTTATAATCTAACATCTTGGTTAAATAAGGAAAATCAACTTGGTCCACTCCCTAAGCATACTTAGGTGTGCAATGTGTGTACAGGTAAATAGCACTAAACACATGTGTCCAGTGCTGACAGCAGGAGGCCCAATACACACCTATATATATGTGTACAGGTATGACATCAAAGGGTTGTCAGCAGGTGGGCAAGGGGGTACCTGAAGTTAGCATGTAGATTGCAATTGGTGCAGATTATGTGTCTTCCAATTTTCAATTTAACAACAATGTCCTCAGGTGAGATAACGGGGAAATGTATAAGCAGAGACGTATATATTACGTCTTGGTATAAGGATCAATTTCAAGAAAAATATAAATAAATAAAATACGTAAGTACTGTCACAGAGTCACATAATATGCAAACCACAATCAGTACAACTGCATCACTCGATAGATGAAAGTCAAAACGAGGCAAATAATGCTGGACCATGCTAAGCACATCATATATCTGATAAAGTGGTTTATTGATAAAGTACTAATCTTTGTGAGACTTGAACGGACAGGTTCTCCCTCTGCAATATTCTTAGAAGTGGTGTGTATATCTTTTATGTGCTAAATTCCTTGGATTGCATAAAGAATAAAAACGTTCCAAGTTTTATGACTGGGAGTAAAAAAACACGGGTTGCTGCTCAATTTGAGTATAAATTATTGTACCGGTGCATTTTTTGTTTGTTTATCTACATATTGTAAAGAAAGGGGTGCGGTACGCCTACGTTAATTTGATTCAATTTTTAATCAATTGTTTTGTGTTGTAAATAGGTAGGTGTTCATCAAATTTTCTAAAGATCAATTTAATAATAAAAAGTATATTATTTACAGTCACTAGATAAACAAATTGTGTAAAAAACACATTTCAATTTAGATAGCATCCAACACACCGTTTGCTTCCTCAGGAGGAACTCATTTCATAATTAAAATTGTAAAAAAATCATTTATATGTATGTAGTCTTTAAATATTACCTACACAAGTAAGTGACGACGGAATATATCATATAAGTAGCTAAAAAGCTCACATATCGAACGCACGATCGAAGCTTCTCGTTATATTCCTATAGGGCTGCATGTTGAACTTGTGATGTCACAGATGTGGCTACCCCCATGGAGGTGATCGCAGCTGAGCCAAAGGTGTGGTTTTCAGATAAATCACAATATCACGGAAACGGAGTCAACTACGACGTTCGCACTTTCTTAGCCTTTTATTATATTAAGTATTTTCATAGCTTGATATAGCAAAACGTTCAGGGTACACTTTAATCCCCAGCACGGAATAAGGTATTACCAGGGTTGAAGTCCTGGGATCAATACCCTTAAAAGTATGTCCCCTTGTAGGGAGGCTCTAGCTGTTACAACACACAATCAGAGACATATAAAGCCAGTAGTATATACGTCTCTGGTACAATACATATTTTATTCATGCATTTCATCCGTTCATAACTATTTTCAACTTCCATTCAAACGATTCTTCCCGCCACATAACACTTACAACAATGATATTGTGAGCATATGATATGTAACCTCATTTGGACATATATACATGTGTTTTTAATGTCATTATATAGCGTATTGAACTAATGGCATGAGTATATATAGCTAAGAGCTGACGACATTAGCATCATAGTAAAAAGTCTGTTGTTCTAGCTAATGTACCTTTCAAGAGTAGTTCAGCTCTCATTCGGAAACATTCTTGTCACATCATATATTTCTCATTGATGATACTATGGATCAAGATATTAATACTAATAACAGTTATCTCCCTCTAATGGTAAGTCCAATCTTCAATGTCTATTTTTGCGGCATACATCGAGTCACAAAGCGGAACATTTCCATATCGTTTTAAAGAAATGCAATGAATAATGTCACTACTGGATAAAACTACGTGTATGATAATAGTCTAGTGGTGTTTTGAACAACGAGGCTTTTGTCTGTGCACTGGCATATTTCATACATATATAATGTCATTATTGATTTAGATTATCTTAAACACGATCAGTAGGGATAATGTACGGGTTTGGGGGAAAAGTAACATCTGGATCAATATTTTGTTCTTTTTCATGAAAATCACTTCCTGTATTTTAAAGATTTGTATATGTTTTGTCAACAGATATTATCGATACCGTTAATTCGATTATTCTAAAAAGTTTGAATAAGTTGGTGGATAAATATTTGAATGATTGAAGTTCTTCCATAGTCCTCTTCGTGCATTTTAGCACAACAGGATTACAACCAATGAAATCCTACTCTCTCTCTCTCTCTCTCTCTCTCTTTGTCTCTGTCTGTAGACCATTGTTATACCTGCAATGTTGGCCCATGTCCATCCAATGTATTTTATTTATTTCTCAGCCGGATGAAGTCATGCCCCTGAAGGTAACTCTCTTTGTTTTTATCTCAAGGCAACTCTTGGGTTGGCGTTTGGGTCCAATTTGTATCTAAGACTATCAACCGCCTTCTTGTTGTTGTGTGCAACTGCCGGAAGTTGTGCAATGCCAATTAGATGTTTTAATTCAATATCAGAAAGGGTTCAAGTCAAGCATTTTTCTAAGGTATCCTGTTTTGGAATACATCTAACTTCCTACAGGGAGCCCGTGTCAACGTCCTTGATTCTGAAGGTCTCCCAGCTCATTTTTCAAGAGAATTAATAGTTTCGTCTTGGTGGTGTTTTCAGATGACCTCCGTAAGCTCTTCAGGACTTCCAATGATCATTATCCACCTGTGAGTCTCCATCCGCTTGTTAATAAATTCCTAACAAAAGTGAATTTCTTTATCTCAGTTCTCTACGCTTGTGTTGGTATTGCGAGTGGGTGTTTAAATTGATGTTGATTTTTCTCACCTTTGATTTGTTAATATTTGTGCTTTTACTATTGAAAGCACATTTCAAGTTAATGCCTGGTCTTGAGGTTTGTCTTGTATTTCATGATGCCCATGGGCTAACAGGGTCACATGATGTCGGTGATTATCAGAGATATTCCTCATTTTCCATTTTTGTATTCGCTCTCATTAACCGATCTTTGTAGAAAGAGAAAATTAAAGAGGAAAGCAATCAGATTCGATTTACACCCGTCTTCTGTAAAGTGTGTTCCAAATCTAAATTAATCACTGATGTCTTCAAATGAGATTTTCTTGTGTTGTATTCTACAGCGACTGGGAATCCTCCACGTTGACTGTTGCTGCTCCGATGATATATAGATATAAAACAGGCATATTCTGGTACTTTTGTGTTCTATTAGATGCTCTGTTCTATGATTTGATGGAGTGTATACTATTTGGTGCCAACAAATACCATTGCCCTCAATCATTCCTGTTCTTTTGAAGATGGTCTACAGTTTTAAAGTTATTATTAGTGCTATAAGTTGGGAAAAATAATAAACCCGATCGGACGTGAAACGGTACGTAAACGGTCATCTGCCCAATCACGTGGGTTTTCTCCGGTAACTCCAGTTTCCTCCCACACTAAGACCCCGCGCGTTAACATCTGGGCGAACAAGAGTGATTTATATAATTTGAAATAATTTGTTTCATAAGTGTTTTAAAATAAATAAAGTTCATATTTGTTTATCTAACAATCATTTTATGAATCAATGATACTGACAATTCGTTAATTGAAATGATATTTTTTAATTCTATTTTATAGATATCTAAAGTCGCAAATTTAAACTGTTGTAAACCAACAAAGAGAAGATTTAATGTAATGGTTAATGTAACATAATACTATTCAATGTAAAACTACATGTATTCCTTTTTGACCACTTATGTTCGCCTTGGCGTTTTCTAAAAGGATTGACCCTGTTTTGAATTTTACTCTCCCACTTAAAAATACAGTTTATGAAAAATGCTACTCTAGCTGTGTTGAATTTTACCTTTTGTGTAAATATTAAAATAGCGTCACTAGAATGGGACTAATCTGTTCTGCTTTACATTATTAAATACGGCACGTCACGGATGAGATAACATTTGTGGCAACCCCATCGGTCACACCCAATTTGTGCGATATCAATCATAAAAATACACATGTAGGTACTAATTTACAATATTTTATTGCAAACTATATGAAATGGATGAGACAATGCTTTCCAAACTTATCCATGTCCTCAAACAACTTCACGAAATAAAAAATATGAACATTACACGCAAAGATAGCTATTTCAGAGATAGACTATTATACACGCAAAGATAGCTATTTCAGAGATAGACTATAATACACGCAAATATAGCTATTTCAGAGATAGACTATTATACACGCAAAGATAGCTGTTTCAGAGAAAGACTATTATACATGAAAAGATAGCTATTTCAGAGATAGACTATTATACACGCAAAGATAGCTATTTCAGAGATAGACTATAATACACGCAAATATAGCTATTTCAGAGATAGACTATTATACACGCAAAGATAGCTGTTTCAGAGATAGACTATTATACACGCAAAGATAGCTATTTCATAGATAGACTATTATACACGCAAAGACAGCTGTTTCAGAGATAGACTATTATACACGCAAAGATAGCTGTTTCAGAGATAGACTATTATTAGACTATTAAAGAAACATCTATGAAACACTAGAGGAAAGGTAACAACATTTTGGTTAATACTTCCGCAAACAAAAATCAAACAATATTTGAAACATTAACTTTCTCCCTCTCGTTCGGTGTAGTCATTAACGATTAGTCCACGCCTGGCTTTTCCCGTCTCGTTCGGTGTAGTCATTCACGATTAGTTCACGCCTGGCCTGTTCGTTTGAATTTTTGCAAAAACCTTTTCATCTTTTCACAGTGTTATGTTACATCTGTGTCTGTTCATTTTACATATACAGTACTAGTACATTTACATGTTTTAATAAATCAAAATAGCATCGTGTTGGTAAGTAGGGAGACGGAGAGAAGTTGCATGTCAAGACTGTTCTTTAAATTATTTCTCTTCTTGTTCTACAAGTTACTATACATGTGGATACATTTAAACTCTTCCATTAACAGCTTTGTCCACTTAAACTTAACCTAAACGAACTCACCGGCATACAACTTTTTACAATAATATTGACATAAACGCACGATGTATTTAATTTTAATATATACATCATTAAAACAGAAAATGAAATTACAAATGTAGATAATAGGATCAATAGATTTTAGGATCATGTTTGTAATTCCATATTTAAGATGGACAAGTATCAGCTAGTTTGATTAGAGTTTTACCACGGTCACTATTGTGAAACAATTATTGAAGTCCTTTTTAAAAGGCGCATTTCAAAAAATCAAATGTTGCGATGCATTGCACAGAATCATAGTTATTCGAAATCTGAACGTTTGAAAATAGAAATAAAAAATGAAAACAGAAAAAAATGCTGTAGTCGAACCATTACCTTGTAAAGCCTAAATTTTACCAATGAACATTGAACATACAAAACATCAGATGGGTTGGGGGGTACTTTAAGTGAGAGAAAATCTTTTTGGTTGCTTCATTTTCTATCATCTAAATTATGAAACATCATTAATGAGCATCCCATCAAGTCTCAAGCAAATACTTTAAAAATAACAATTTCCCTAAAGTCGCCTACAAGAAGGTAGGATAATTGGAAGGCTATTCTAAACAGTTAAGTGCATGAAAGTTATCTGAACATTTATGAACAAAACAAGATATCTTGTAAAATACTTATGGAAAGTATCCTATAGCAGTTTCCTATCATAATATATCAAATGAGTCAGGTTACAAATAAGATTCGACCTTTTGAAAGACGAATAAAGCTCAATCTGATAAAAAGGTTTCCACCATTGCATGTCATGCAGAGAAATGCTTAGAAAAAAGCTTATTTGAACTGATTAAAAAACGGCAGACGCACGCAATGTTTTGATCGAAATTAAAAACTACATACATTACTAACTTTCCAAAGCAATATTCACTTCTGAATGGAATTGTGAAAAAAAAATGATTCCCTCGTTCGGTTTTTTTTTTACATTGAAAAATAACTTAAGGTTATTATATTCGATATCTCCTAAATCTATTAATGATATATGATGCATACAGGACAATAGCAACGCATACTGAAATAATCTAATATGGCACAATCATTATCAGTATTAAGCATTTGCAAATATAAAGCACTTCGTTTACATTTCTTCTGAAATGGCATTTATAACATCATAACATACACATATTATATCACTGGAATGGTAATCCTGCATAGAACATTCACACAATATTTCGAAATTGCATATCGTTGAACTTTTTAGACCTTTTTGAAAAATCGCAATCGAATGCAAAGAAATTGAAAGGTTTTATATGCTTCTATATGCAACGCAATTGAATTTACCGCTCGCATTAATCCTTTCATAACACAGAAGGTCCAAAATCTGCCTAAAATATAGTTTTATCTCATAGCTAAATGCTGCGCGTTTACGAGTGCAGAGTACACCCCTTTCTGGCCGAGAAGCTGTTGGTGAGTTCCTTTCTCGACGATCTGCCCCGAGTCCATTACATATATGACGTCAGCATTCTGTATAGTGGACAGTCTGTGAGCGATGACAATGCACGTGCGGCCGTCTTGAACGTTGTCTAACGCATTCTGCACGAGCTGAAATGTAAACAAAAAAATCCATAACGCAAATTTCAAAAGTGATTGCATGGTTGTGTAAAGCGCGAGCGTCATCTGAAATGATTTTTTTTCTTTTTTCTTTTCTTTGGTCAGGGTTAACGTCCTCGCAACAGCTTAAGTCATATGAAGACGCCGATATTAGGCACTGTCGCCTACCTCAACAACAGGGCCAACAGCACTGTCGCTTTCCTCAACAACATGACCAACAGCACTGTCGCCTACCTCAACAACATGACCAACAGCACTGTCGCTTTCCTCAACAACATGACCAACAGCACTGTCGCCTACGTCAACAACATGGCCAACAGCACTGTCGCCTACCTCTACAACATAACTTACAGCACTGTCGCCTACCTCAACAGCATGGCCCACAGCACTGTCGCATACCTCAACAACATGGTCAACAGCACTGTCGCTTTCCTCAACAACATGACCAACAGCACTGTCGCTTTCCTCAACAACATGAACAACAGCACTGTCGCATACCTCATCAACATGAACAACAGCACTGTCGCCTACCTCAACAACATGGCCAACAGCACTGTCGCATACCTCAACAACATGACCAACAGCACTGTCGCTTACCTCAACAACATGACCCACAGCACTGTCACTTTCCTCAACAACATGACCAACATCACTGTTGCTTACCTCAACAACATGGCCAACAGCACTGTCGCTTTCCTCAACAACATGGCCAACAGCACTGTCACTTTCCTCGACAACATGGCCAACAGCACTGTCGCCTACCTCAACAACATGGCCAAAAGCACTTTCGCCTACCTCAACAACATGGCCAATAGCACTGTCGCATACCTCAACAACATGACAAACAGCACTGTCGCTTACCTCAACATAATGACCCACAGCACTGTCGCTTTCCTCAACAACATGACCAACAGCACTGTTGCTTACCTCAACAACATGGCCAACGGCACTGTCGCTTTCCTCAACAACATGGCCAACAGCACTGTCGCCTCCCTCAACAACATGGCCAACAGCTCTTTCGCCTACCTCAACAACATGGCCAATAGCACTGTCGCATACCTCAACAACATGGTCAACAGCACTGTCGCTTTCCTCAACAACATGACCAACAGAACTGTCGCCTACCCAAACAACATGACGAACAGCACTGTCGCTTTCCTCAACAACATGACCAACAGCACTGTCGCTTTCCTTAACAACATGACCAACAGCACTGTCGCATACCTCATCAACATGACCAACAGCACTGTCGCATACCTCAACAACATGGCCAACAGCACTGTCGCCTACCTCAACAACATGGCCAACAGCAATGTCGCCTACCTCTACAACATGACTAACAGCACTGTCGCTTACCTCAACAACATGACCAACAGCACTGTCGCTTTCCTTAACAACATGACTAACAGCACTGTCGCCTACCTCAACAACATAACCAACAGCACTGTCGCTTACCTCAACAAAATGACCAACAGCACTGTCGCCTACCTCAACAACATGACCAACAGCATCCAAAACAGAAATCAACTCAAAAAATGGCAAATAAAGATATCTTTTAAAGAAGAACAGTTAGGTGCCACTCAAACACAACGAAATACAACGTAATCCATGTTACGCTTCGAATTTGGAATGTTCCATTTGTCATTCATATTGGAAATATTAAGCCAACTGAAAGGAGTCCAACGTCTATATCAATATTTCATTAACTAAGAATTGTTATTACAAGCTGAATTTGTTGAGGGTAATATAGCTTCAATGTATTTTTACGAAAACAAATGCCTTTTCAAAGTGGGGTTTTCGTTTGTCACATGACTGTCATCAGGGAATCGAGTACATGTATTATTTATATATTTTTCCAGTTTTCAGTAAGCATATAAACTAAATCTCAATGCTATTAAACTCTAACAATCATAATATACCTTTTCACTTTCAGTGTCTAGAGCAGACGTGGCCTCGTCTAACAGGAGAATTTTTGGATTTCTGATGAGAGCTCGTGCGATCGCCACGCGCTGTTTCTGTCCACCTGAGAGTTGCGTTCCCTTCTCCCCAACATACGTATCATAACCCTACAGACAAAAAACAACATTCTGTTCAATGCGTCAGACCTTGAATTGATTTATTGTATAGTGAATGTTTGGCTTGGTGTTTTATATGACTACAGCCCTTTGTGAGAGAGTAATTGTAACGATAAATCGCGAGTCGTGTCGAGAAACATTCCTGGTGTTGAGAAGCTAGCCACATGCATAGCAACTTAACCTCTCTTTAGACAAAAGGAATAGCATTTTATCTGGTCCACATAACTTACCATCGGTAGTCCACTGATGAACTCGTGGATGTTAGCTGTCCTTGCCACCTCTATGACTTCGTCCATTCCGACCATGCGGTCAAGGCCGTACGCGATATTGTCCTTAAAGCTACAGTCAAACAGTATTGGTTCCTGACTGACTACTCCTATGTTTGAGCGCAAATTATTTAGGTTAAAATCTTTTACTTCACGGCCGTCTACAATCTGAAATAAATACATACTGATGAAATTATATCGGTATTGCTTTGGGGCGACGAATAATGTACATCCTACGTATATTTTTTCCTGTGTAAATATATCCACATATTTATATCGGAAAGAACAATAATGTTTCATAATATATTATAAATTACTGATATCAACAAATTTTGGTATACCGTATTATTCCCAAATAATCATACCATTTTTGTTCATAATTGATGAATATTTATTCATTTCTTATACAAAATTAACAATTTACATCATTGCGCTGTAATTTCATTGCCAAGCAACTTCAACCAATCAGAGGAAAGTTAGAACAGGGACAGTATACGTCCCTGGTTAGAATCACATATATAGCGCCAAATATTGCGGTATACGATGTCCTCAAATTCAGTGTTGTGTTTTTGAGGTTTTACGATGTATTTTGAAAAAGTTCATCAAGGGATGAATAGCCAAAACTTAAATATTTTAAGTATACACAATTTCAGCTTACCAGACTACCATCCAGTGGGTCGTAGTACCTCTGGAGTAGGGAGATAACTGTAGATTTGCCACAGCCGCTGGAGCCGACGAGTGCCACCGTCTGTCCCGCCTCGACTTCAAAAGTCAAATTCTTCAACACTTTGACCTCACTTCTCCAAGGGTAGTTGAAATTGACATCTTTTATACTGACTCGACCGTCCATCTTGTCCTGAAATAGTAATGGATATAATTTTGGTTTTCAATTGTTGATTCTAGCAGGTAAGAGCTCGGTGTTTTGATGACGGATTTGGTAACTGTTTGTTAAAAGAAAATGTTTCTTGCCATGCTTAATTAAAATAACAATATGTGTTCAATGATGGTCAAAATGACAAATAATCGCATCTCATATCACATTTTTTATCTGCATTTTAGACTTCCAGCGTAGATATTTGTTTAACAGTCCATAATGATGCTGAAAAGATGGAAATATACCATGTTTTATAAACAGTCGCGTTAGCACTACATCTCCCTTTGTTCGCACGAAGAACAATCACATGCATGTTAATGTCGTAGTGTAGATTTATATGCCTTTTATATTTGAAACGATTATTGAACATGTACGGTTAAGTGCATTGGAGTACTTCTGTTGAATTGAAAGGGAGCTATAGAAATGGTGTAAATTGTATAGAGCGTGAAATTATGTTTGTGAAATTATAAAAACGTTGTGAATGATATATGTAGCTATGAATGTGAAGTAAATTATATAAGCGCTATGGAAATGTTTAAATATAGGGAGCTAAAGACATGATGTAAATTATATCGGCGCCATAGAATTTTGTTATAATATTTGAAGTCACAGAAATGTTGTAAACTATATAAGACGTTATATTGTTGTAAATTATATAGAAAGCGCTTGAAACGTGGCGCTTCAGAAATGTTGTAAATTAAGTAGGCGCAAAAAAATGCATTAAGGGAAGTAGGAAGCGCTAGGAATGTTGTAAAATCATTAGGTGCTATCGAGATGTTTTTAATTTAGTTGGCGCTTTAGAAATGTTGTAAATTTAGTAAGCACTTAAGAAATGTTGTAAATTTGGAAGAGATCATAGAAATATTGTAAATTGAACAGGTGCTATGGAGACGTCGTGTATTATAAAGAGCACTATTGAAAGTCTGAAAAGCGGTATATCATTGTTATTTGTTCCAGTTTAACTTGTAACCATTTTAATATCATTAAAAAGCTATTGATAGGTAGATTTTTCATGTGATTCGTGTGTGATTTGTGTCAACGTTGCAACTTTTGACCACCAGGTAACATAATACACTGACCATGTAGATACCCCGCTTAGAGTAAATATCTATCGGGGGCACGGTGTCAATGACTTTGAAGATGAGACCGGCTGCATGCTTGGCTTTCGAGTACTCGGGTAGGAAGGACGACGCTTGACCAATAGTAATACCGGTAAAGGCTATGGCGAAAAACACCCTGTAAAACATGAAAAAAATATTTATTGAGACAGAGCATCCATTTGATAATGTACCCGATGACTGTTAAAATGACATATTTTTGTCTATGTGTTATTGGTATTATTTCAGGTACGACAATATCAATGACGTCCACTAATTGTAATCACTACAAAGAGAGTTGGAAATCTATACAGTAACATCAGTATTTTATTCTGAAAAGGAAAAGTACGTTAACCTGTCTATTTGCATATCCTTTACGATAAAGTAATATTTAGACTTCACTAGATTCATTTTGTAACCTACTGTATCTATTACCAAAGTGTAAATAGTCACCTGTGGGTGTTACGTCCGTCTTCTATAGTATGATGCATTTACACCTGCACCTTTATAACAGATCTTTCTCAAATTCGAAATAAATTGTTCCCCTTCTAACATCTTTAGTAGTGTGCCAGGAAATAAGTCAAACGACAACATTTTGTTTTGGTATTGTTTCACGGCCCATCGACAATGCGAGTCAGTTAGGGCCAAACAACAACAGCACCTAGAAATGAACAATGTCATATAAAACAGTATGGAGTTTTGATCAAACGCTACCACAAGGAGTATTTAATGTTTACAGTCGCCGTACGCATGGAATATCAGAGAAAGTGTTTTTCTCCTGCCCACACAACTCCAACAACCCAGGTGGAGTATAAAATGGTCTGGGATGGATGTTGCGGTATATCGTCTGCTGGATAACCGAACTACTCGGTAGTGAAGCGGACGTAAACCCTTTCAATCAATCAATCAATCAATCAATCAAAGTTGCGGTATCTGTGTTGTAGCATTCAAGTGAGTTGGTACTATAAAAGATGCCATTGGAAGCACGGTCCCATAGTTTGCTGGATAACCGAACTACTAGGTAGTGAAGCGGACGTAACACCTATCAATCAATCAAGCAGGGTCCCACTACAAACAGAACACAATACATCTCCAGCACGCCACACACGCAGGCATACACACATAGGGAGATATCAGCCAGGTGGCATAGGACTAGTAGTTAGCGCCTGATAAGGCAGCTCCTGCGAATTCCTCAAAATTGTATTGATTAATGTATATGCTAAATGTATTAATTATATATCTATGTACTGTAAAGCGCTTTTGAGTGGCTTATGTTAGGGTGCTATATCAAATATTGTATATTTATTTAATTTACATGACTCAATCCCACAGAAAATAAATTGAAAAAAAAATATCAATGTAACATAGCATTAACAAAGGAGGTACGCTGTTGTACGCAGATATCCCCCTGGAATCTCTTGTTTTTATCACGATGCAACTTCTTGTACTTGTTCTGTGTTTCCGTTGGATAATTCTAAATGTTCAGTAATATCACATGCCACGTAATCGTGTAAGTTTGTGCGTTATCTGTATCTATCATGTTGTGTCCTTGTACGACAATTATATTTACGTTATATATAATTGTCTACCCTTCCCAGGAGCTTGTTAATTATCTAATACAGGGGAGAAACATAGCCTGGCTTGTGTCTTCTAAATCTTTCATGCTATTCCCACGGCCTCTCTGACCGAAATATACGCACTGTCTAGTGTCCCATTAGTTTGATTTAAGTTGTAAGCTAACAACTCTTCATACAGCAAGCCTAACACCAAAACCAAGTTCAGTCATGGCTCCATTTTAGTAATAGGATGTTTTTTTCAATCCTTCGCATATTGGCTGTGAAATATATTTCCGAAATTTGGCACTTTTTCATGGAAAAAAACCCGAAAATTATAAAAATATATTTAACAAAAACAGTTGATGTTTCCTTAAGCCATGGGCGTCCACGCTTTCCGTCTTTTATGTTTGTGCGTGTATTTTTGACAAGATACATACACGATATGAAGGTATGTTTGTATCAGGATGGCATTTCGCAGCGATAATTAAACAACTGTTTTCCCTTTATCAGTAGCTGCTTGACATTTTATGAAGATATTTAAACTTTCTCTGACGGTGTAGCTGTGTTGTGAGCATTTACGATGAAATTGTACAGAATTACCATCACATAGGATAATGGGATCGGGTATTTTAGACAGCATGTAAACTCGTGCAATAATCAGAAATAGTAAAATAAAGTCTCAGTTTTAGTATATGATAGTTGTATTACACTAAATAATATCATGTTTTATGTCGAACGCACCGTAATTTATTTTAAAAATTAAAAAAGAATTGGACACAAGATCAAACATATAAGATAACACATCGGTATTATTTATATAAATAGTAGCATATAAAATATCAATATTTATACATAAATATCTATTACATTACCAACTAAAACCCCTGTCACACCTAGCCGCGTTGCCACTGCGATTGCACGGCGTTGTTAAATTGTCCAGAGCGTCGGGAGATCGCAGGAAAAAATGATATTTTTCATGAAGATGGCGGTGCCACAGCAATTCACGGCGACCTTGGCGTTTTTACGGAGTTCCATGGCGTTCTACCGCGTTCCTACGGAGTTCTAGCTGACGATTGTCTGCGCACTCATTGCGCTCTCACGGCACTTCCACTGTGTGCACGAGGAACATTCGGTATATTACCGATGACTAGGTGAAATTATAAATAAAGTCCTACTAAGTTTGCAACGTACATGTATACAAACAGTGCATATATAATTTCATCAAACTCATCCAAACATCTTCAAAATGTCTAACTTTCTTCTTGTCATGCTTTATTTTACAGAGGCGGATCCAGGGGGGGTGTCACCAAGCGCACGTGACACCTGTCCGTGACCAGAATGTTTTTAAGTAGCGAAATATAAGACCGCGTCGATCGTGTGACATCCCCTAGCACCGTTCGTTGTGCGCACTGAAACCACGTGCACTTGTACGTGCATGCATTTTGAGCCGTTACGCATCACCATTTGGCCGTTACTCATTGAGAGGTATATAACAACAAAAATACGATTGGAACATAAAGTTCTCATAAATTGATTACCTCTTCTCCCCCTTCCAATAAGACTCACCCTCATAAGACTAGCTTTTTATTTTCCCTTAAAAAATAGATATCATAGCGTACCAATATATTCCTGGGGAGAATACTGATGATGTTGCACATCTTCCAACAATTTCCATTAGAGGTGATTTTAGAAGTAAATCATTTATATTTATTTATATATTATATTGAATAATCTCAGAGAGACCTGAGGGAGGGGGAGGGGAGGGGTTGTACTTGCTGACAACCCGGACAAGACACTGACGTAAAAGTAGACTTGTGTAACATGACTTATGTTAAAGTGTACATGTGCTACTGGTAATTACTGCCCTGCTAGACGAGACATCGACATCTAAGTTAATCGTGTAAAATGTAGTGTACATGCATCACTGCTAAAATATTAAAATCTGGAATGGTGACACCCCCCTAAATCAATTCTAGATCCGAGCTATATAAGCTATAGCACCACTCATAGCTACTAGTCCAGACCCTTTCCTTCAATAAGATTCAACTTTCATACATTTCCCTTTCTTTTCCATGAGTTCCTTTCCAAATCACTGCCTATCAGGAACTTGATTTAGAGGAAACTGCGCTTACGATAGATAAACTTTTGCACAATCAATCGTATGTACTATCAAAATCCGTCAACCGTCAATCCGACATCCATATCCTTTCTACATCAGTGTATTGGTCACACTGGACGATAATAGTGAGAGCTGTTTTCTATCGGGTAACTTTAAAAATATCTGCATTAAATGTTCTGCATCCATGACGAAGTATGCAAGGCCGGTTTACAGAATAGACAGAGTCCAGATCTAGATTGGCCAGACTTTATTACTATAATTAAAGAATTGTCCATGTTGCAAAAAAATGTGGAATGGGTTTCTTGTATTGATCAATATGGACATCATGTACCTCTCTTTAACTTTCGTCTGATTGAATTACCACATATATTATGTAAGTCAATAAATAGTATATGGGATGAAGATGTGAATTAATTTTGGTATACCTGGCTACCCCTACAGGTTACCGCGCACGAGTATACAGTTAATTGTTAGATACATGCCGTGTACTTGGTTGTTAATTTATTAACGAATGACACTTATCGTATGAAATTTCAGTGAATGTGTCATATATTCCTTTGTACGGTCGAGTTATCATATAAAGCACAGCTGTCATGATACACAGATGTGTTACTTTATTAACGGGTGACACTTATTGAGACACCGAAGCCATTAGGTGACGAATTTCACTATTTTTTAAAACTATCCCTTTCCGTCTACATAGGTGGTCATGTTTCGATAGATAGTATTATACAGTACCATATATTGTTAAGTTTTCAGAATAAATGAATATCGAAAAAAGTGTGAAAATCTTAATAATAAATCTTATGCTATGCACAATCATCAAAACTTTCTTTACAAAAATGTCCTCCGTACACATTGTATTAGACTTTGTATACTATTGTAAATTAACGATATGTGTCTTTTCATTTGTAATTTCGTAAAGAGAAAAAAAATAAAGCTGATTTAACCACTGCCAACTGCATACAAATGTACATGAACCCCCAACCTCCCCCTCACCCCCTTGCACAAAAAATCACAACCCCCCCNTCCCCCGTAGAATAAAGAAGAAGAAGAAGAAATCCCATCCCCAAGTAAAAGATACCCTTATCTAACTTATAACGTATTTTCAAAATTTTCCCGTTTTCTACTGAATGATAGCTGAAAGCTAGGTTTTAAACTCGTCGTAAAATAACGGAAAGTCGTAGTGTGGTATTTTAATTTATTTCTTGTAATGCATGATATCGATTTTTATTTTGACTCATGACGATGTGCTTGAAACATGTATTGGAAACTTTAAAACTCAACCTCTACACAGTTGTATTTTTAGAAAAAAATACTAGTCACGTGACAAGGGGAATCCCCGTACTAATGTAAGTTACTATAATTAATCCATGCATGTGACTGCAACGACCAATCGGATTGCTCGTCACATTTGAACTCAAGAAAGGGGGACCTGCTACTGCTCGCGATCGAAACAGATGC